CAAAAGAGAAGCATAGCTCTCTACAAAGGAGAAAATCTAATTGTTGAATTGTCCAAATGGTCTGAGGGGTAAATTCTGGGGATGGATGGCGCTTTACGTCCCGATCTCCTCATGTCCACACAGGATGAAACTTTCAGAAACATCCCTACACTGCTCTTTCCACAGGACAGCCCAGTCTGTCTGACGCTGCCTTCCAGCCAGCCTTCTCCCCCAATTGTTCTGTGTTTGCTGCCCTCTAGTGGGCAATGCTTTGCTTACAGGGCAAAAAGAAGAACAAAAATCACAAATTGTTGGGTAAGAAATAACAAAGATAACCCTAGTCCCCTTGTAAGAGAAATGATCTGCCAATGCATCCCTTCACCTATTCCATGGCTTGGGGTCACAGAAGACCTCTACTGGGTCTCCTGTTCCATCATTTTGACAAAGAGAATTCTAAATAGAAGGCTAAAACAACAAAAATAGTCTTTTATGGTTTTTAATTCCTTAAAGAATATTACCTCTGCACTCTCATGGAAGTTTATCACTTAGACACCTAAAAACACTAGGATTAGAGGTCCTGTTTGACCCAGGTATTCCCCTGCTGGGCATCTTCCCAACAGAATTAAAAGAATCCTACCACAGCGATATATGTGCACCCATGTTTATAGTGGCACAATTTGTAATAGCTCAAACTTTCAGTTTCCTTAAGAAGAATTCCCACCAGTTGTGTGAAAATTAAGTGACATTTGTTTTCATTTTAATTTTTGAACTAAAATTGAATTTCCCATCCACAACTCACACCTCCCATCTCCCAAAATTGGTGGTAGGCTCCCACCTTCCTCCCCTCTGGCTTTATCTTAGCCAACTGGGCAAGACAAGGCTATAAAGCACCTCCTTGTTTATACACAATGATCAATGACCCACTCTCCTAAGCTCAGTCCTTAGAAGCATTCAGCAAGCTTCTAACTAGGGTTTGCAGGCCCGCTCTTCCTCTAATCGTCAGGCACTAACGCAAGGCCATAGGGTCTGTGCCCAGTCTTCCTGGAAACTCGCGCACAGACTTCCGTGGGTCACTTGCTGCAACTTGCTCCCCTGTCAGGCTGCCTGCAATTCACCCCGCAGAAGAGTTTCTCAGTACTGCTGTGCACAGCACCCCCTTATTTGATCCCTCACTTCTCTCTCCATTCACTGAGCACTAAACCGGAAAGAAAATTCAATGTGGCCACTGTGAGGATCTTGCATTTTATTTCCTGGCAGTCATTAGAGAAAACTTATAGAGTAGAATGGGATGGGTTAGGCAGTGGGGGGGGGGCCCACAGGGCAAGGATAATCCAACTCCTCCAGTGCTCCAATTCACAAAATCTTCCACAAATTAACAAGTAAACAACAACTAAGACCAAAATGAAAATGGATAAAGGACAAAATAGTCCAGAGAAAAATAAATACAAATCCATCAATATATTGTCTTTAGTCAAAAAGAAATGTAAGTTACATCGGACAACAATGCTTACGGCTTTATTAACAAAACATTAAAACTTGACACTACCCAAAGTTGAAGAGGGTGTGGAAAGACGGGCATTATCACTCCTATTACTGCTGGTAGAGACATAAATAAGTCTAAAAGCTCTAGAGGACACTTGGCCCTCTCAAAATATGAAATGCATGGTGTCGAGAGACTACAGGATGCTCGGAAATTTTTCATCTCTTCTTCCTGGGCCCACAGCCAGAATGTGTTTCCCAGCTTCCCCTCAGTTGGGTGTCATCATGGTGAAGCCCTAGTCACCGGCAGGGCAGTACATGCACACCTAGTCTGTCTCATTAGTGACGTCTATGTGAACTACCCCCACCACCCGCCATAACTATTCCCCTCCCTCGCTCCCAGCAGGCTGGGATGGAGACAACTGCACATCATCCTTGAAAAGCAAATGTTGAAAAGAACAAAGCTTCTGTCCACTGTGGGTTACAGAAAGACTGCAGCAGAGGGGGACCATCCAGCTCACCTATTTAGCCACTCTGTACTCACATGCAAGAAATGAAAATGTCTTCTGTTGAAGCCATGACTTAGTCTGTGTGGTTTGTTAGTTACAGCAATTGGTCTACTCTCATTTACATGTACTGTAACTCAGCAATCTCACTAGTAGAAATCTTTCTGAAGAGAAGACATACATAATTGTACAAGTCAGATAATTAACCAATATTGGAATAACCACATAATTCATGGCACAACCATCCAACAGATTACCATGAAGTCTTAGAGTAAGAAAGATCTGTGAGCAGCCAAGGAAGACTTGTAAACCCTGCTGGTAAGTGACAGCAGGGGGCCTGGGACAGCTGTTAAGAAAGAGGGTGCACAGTGACATATGTGTGTGAATACATACTGGCATACACATTCTTTTTCTTAAGGAGATAGCCAAGAAAAAGTTAAAAGGATATAACTTTCATTAGCACTTATATTATTTGGAATTTCTACCACCAGAAGGAAACTATGTAGTTTATTAGATGGGAGCAAGTTGTTATGTCTTGTATCTAAACATCCCCCCAAAGCCTCCTGCACTCATACGTATTGCTTTTCTGAGCTGGCTATATCTAGGGTATGTGATACTGGGATTAAGAGTACAAAACTCGTCCACCGATTGTTACTGGTGAGGTTCTACATATGGTGGAATGGGTTTGCTGAAGACAGAAGCACCCCTGAGGTGTAGGGGACATGACCCAAAAGGCTTGTAGCCTGGAAGGGATCCGAGAGCAAGGGAAGCTCCCTGCTTGCTCATTGCTGCCTTCTGCCTGCCACACATGAACTGTTTCTCCTCTGCATTGCCCCTGTGCTCTGCTGGCCCCAATGCCTCAGAGCCTCAGAGCCATCTGAGTATGGACTGAAACCCCAACAAACTGTGAGCCAAAATAAACCTTTCCTCCTTTCACATATGGGTATCGGGTAATTTGTCCCAGCAATGAGAAAAGTAACTAAGACACAAGGGGTGTGTGATACTGAGAATAAGAGTGTATGGTACAAAATTAAGACAAGTAGTCAGCCTATTAGTAAATATTTCTTTAGCATGCAGTCCATCATAGGCACCAGGGACACAGCCAGGGGCCTTGCAGGATGACTCAGCAGGAGCCCTCACTCTGGCCAGTTCCCTGTGCGGCGGAAAGCCAGGGAGGCCCACCATGAAGGTCTTCAAGTGGGCAACGGATGCTTACAAAAGATGGTCCTCCAGGCAGCACACAGCCTCAGTTAAAGAACAGAGCTCCCAGGAGCCAGGAATCAGCCCTGACTACTCTGATGGTTGCTAAGATGTGGAGTGACAGGCATTTATTTTCCAAAGATGAAAAAGAAGAACCCACAGCAGCCCAAAGAGAAACCAAAATGCTGGCCATATGCACTGCACTGAGAATCCAAAGGAAATCACCTAGTGATCCAAAACAAAACTGTCATTCTTTGGCAGAACAGGCCATAGGGCCTAGGTGCAGACCCCCTCACATCCCTGATGTGTCTTGATCTCCTGCTGGTATGAAAGACACTATCAGTCTTTCTTAGGTACACAGTCCCAATCTTGATTTAGAGTAACCCATAGAGTTCCCCCTTTCCCAAATTCAGAGTTCGGTATGAAACAGCAATTGCCACACAGACAAAAACAGAAAGTTCAGTCATGTCCCCTATTTCCTTCAAGTTTTAATCACTTTGCAACACAAGCCCTCCAGCATACTTCTGGAAAGCTTGGCAATCTGCTGCTGCTAAGAGGCCCCACTGAAACAATGTGCGTGTTGACCAGCCCGACTCCTAACCTCCATTCATGAAGAGAGATATGTACTAAACAGATAAGACTCGGGACTTCAAACACCCTGTCTTCCTGAACAAACTCATCAAAAGGCATACCACGCAGTCACCAGCTAGCTATGGGCACTGCACAGAAGCCAAATGCTATTGATTTTATGCTGATTCGCCGCAGCTTCAATCATTATTTTTCTCATCTTCTGTCACATGAGGAGGGAACATGGAGTTGTGAGAGATTTGAGAAATTCTCTTGAGCCTTAAATTACAGGTAACCTTAACATACCAGAGCAAGGAAGTGGAGAGCATGACTTGTTGTACACCTACAAGTAAGACTATTGCATGAACATTTCCACACATGACAGTCTTCGGAGAGAGGATTTATGTTTCTGACACATACGTGATTTAGCAAAGCCAAAGCATTTCTGCTGCTGCCACACCCCAAGTTACCATAGCAGAATTAGTAATGATTAGTATTGATTTGGCTGAGTCCATTGACAAATGGGAAGTATTCGGGAAAATAATTCACTGGAGATTTCCAAATCTGGGTCACTTATAACACAGATCAGAGAGAAGAGGAGAAGCACAAGATATTCTCATTCTCTCCTATGCACATGCACTGCACACATGCGCACACAGTTCAGTACCAAAGCCCTGGGCTACAGAAAAAAGCAATTTATGTATATGAGTTTTACTACAAATTATTAAAAGGAACATAGCTAAATCTTCCATTTTAGGACCCATACAAAAGTGACCATTGCTTTTTTCCCTTTTGTTTTATTTTGCATTTTTGTTTTTTTTACAAATCATTCAGCATCTTTTCTCCATGAATCACAGAAGAGTCTTTACCTGAAAGTTCCTTTCCCTCCAGCCTTGTGTCAACTGGAGTGTATCAGCTCACATATTCTCCTTTCTCCTGTACTTTCAGGAGGATAGATACATGCATGCACACACAGTGTACTAAAAAAATATTACAAAAATTGAAGAGTTCCCAGGAAAAGAAAGGTCTAAAAAAAGAAAAAAACCTTGAAGACATCTTGCCAACACAGGAGCAACAGCACTACAGCACTACTCCAGTACCAAACCATTAAGCCCAGCTCCTTTTTCAGGGGTGCTGCCTGCTTCCTCTGGTTATTTACACACCATAGAGGGCTCCTGTCAATCATCTGTGTCTAAAACATAGACTCTGACATTTGAAAGGACTGTATTAATTGATCTGAGCAGAGTGTAATGCGCTTGAAGGGCTTACCTGCATGTCCCCAGAGATGCTGGCTTGAGGCGGACATCAGCTTACAGCACACCATTAACATGTAGGCCAGGAAGACCCAATGTGACAGCAGCACTGACTTGGCACAGACTCTCATCCTACAGGGAAAACAAGGCTGCAGTCAGTGAGGACCCAGAAAGGCTCCCTGGCAGACCCTACCTAGGAGCAGGTGAGGGAAAGGGTGTGGGAGGCACCTGTTCCCTACCTTCTGTTCCCCCAGTCAATTGAATTAAGCATTAACTCAGTGTTCAATAACCACCTTTTATAATTAAGGCTTTCCAACTCGGCAGCACACTGCAGTGAAGCCTATTTATGAATCTCCAAGGTCTGGCTCAAGTTTCCTTGATAGAACATTGGGGTTATATTCTATTTTCTTTCATGAAATTTGAAAGGTACATACTTAGAGTTGGACTCAAACAAAACAAACACATGTGGTTTCTACATCTGACAGAGACCACAAGACGCTTGCACATATGGCTCAAGGGCTTTCTGGTTTCATTGCTGTACAGTTCTAAAAGATGGAACTCATAGTTTACCAAGACAATCTCAAAGTTTGGAGGAATCAGGGGCAGGAAAAGAGACTATAAAATAAACTTGATCTCACATGGATGGACAGTGTCAAAAAAGTTATTCTAAGACAATTCAGTTCAGTGTCACTGCATGGTCTATTCAAACAAAAGTAATAAATGGAAAATATCAAAAATGCATTATTCTTAGCCCTAATGTTCTTCCCTTTTTAATATTATAAGAGAATTAGATACAACTTGATTAATTTTCTTTTGATTTGTAATAAACTTTTGAAGCAAAAAAGGGCACTTGGCCTCTGAGACACCATATTGGGTTCTGCTTGGTACACACCTCACAATGCCCATTATCACCATAATGGATCAAAGGAACCTTCCTTTATATACAATCTTCCCTTGGTATTCATGGATAACAAGCTGCCTAAAATACCAAAATTTATCTGAAGATTCAAAATTTGCAAGCGTGCTAGCCCCTAATATAAAATGTTAACCAGTCATTGGATATGAGCTACCCCTGAAAACCAAGGGTCATTTGGGTAAGGCGGATCTTTTAGTGGAGGACAATTCTGAGAGTGGGCTGACATCTATGAGCTATCTTCTGGCAGTACTCCAACAGTGGAGGGCATAAACCCTTCACTCCTGAAGCAGGATCTTGGCAAAGCATCTGTGCCCACTACTGTCTGTCAAATTTTAAACAGAAATAATTTCCCAGGTAACCACAGAGAAGGAGAGAAGAATGAAAGACATGATTAGAGAATCTAGAACAGAAACAGATGAAAAAGTAGATGAGTTCAGGATGATAATGGAAACCATGAATGCCCAGCATAGGAAAGAAATGGAAACCTTGAAAGCCCAACATAAGAAATACATGGAATCCATGAAGCAGATTCAAACAGATATCCAGGAGATTAAAAACTCCATAGAAAGCATTCAGAGCAAAATGAATGAATGTGAACATAGAATTTCATATACAGAAGATAGGATTGTGGTCAGTGATCATGAAAAGAGAGATCTCTTAAAAACAGTAAGGGACCATGAGAAAACAATCCAACATCTCCTAAATGATGTAAAGAAGAATAATATAAGACTGATGGGAATCCATAAAGTAGCAGGAGAAAGTTCAAATGACATTAAAAAAAAAAACTGTTCACAGAATTGACAGAAAAATTCCCAGAGGGGAAGAATTTGACATACAGATAAGTGAGGTATATAGGACTCCAACTAGCCATGATCAAAAAAACAAAAAAAAAAAAATCTACACCTAGACGTACAATAATCAAGATCCCAGAAATAAAACAAAATACTACAGTCAGTTAGAAAAAAGAAACAAATCACATGAAAAACAAAGCCTATCCAAATCACAGCAGACTTTTCAACACAAACCCTCAAGTCAAGGAGAGCCTGGAGTGAGGTATTTCAAGTCCCAAAAGAAAACAACCTCCAACCTACACTGATGTATCCTACAAAACTATCTTTCAAAATTGATGGGAAAATAATATACTTCCACAACAAAGAAGACCTAAGAAATTTCACAAACACCAAACCGGCACTCCAAATACTTCTAAACAATATCCTGGAAAAAGAAATTGAAGGGCACAACTCCATAAGAGCCAACAGAGCAAATATACCAGGCAAGGCAAGAAATTAAAGGGAGAGAGGGAAAAATTAAAAATAAAAGAACCAACAACAGGAAAATAACATCACAATGAAAAGTTAACACATAACAGTTATAACAATCAATGTTAATGGCCTCAATTTACCAATCAAAAGAGGCTGGCAGAATGGATTGAGAAGCAAAATCCAACAATATGCTGTACACAAGAAACCCACAAAGAAAATCACAGACTGAGAGTAAAGAGATGGAAAACAGCTCTCCACGCGACAGGAGCCCAGAAAAAAGCGGGGATACCTATCTTATTTGCAGACAGAGTACATTTCAAATCAAAACTAATTAAGAGAGACACAGAAAGCCACTACATCCTTGTAAAGGGAACAATACAAGAGGAAGAAATGACAATCATAAATATATATGCACCTAATACTAACACCCCCAACTATACAAAACAAATATTAACGGATATAAAAAAATGAAATAAGAACTAATATAATTGTAGTGGGGGACCTCAGTACTCCACTGAAACAGACGGATCATCTAGACAAAAAAAATCTACAACAAAATGCTAGAACTGAACCAAGCTTTTGAACAACTGGACTTGATAATCATCTACAGAACTTTCCACCCGACAAAATCAGAATAGACCTTCTTTTCAGCTGCACACAGGTCATTCTACAAAATAGAATATGTTAGCTCACAGAACCTGCTTAAGTAAATGCAAAGGAATTGAAGTGATCCCGTTTATTTTGAGATCATAGTGCAATTAAACTGGAGATGAATAGCGTAAGAAACTGCAAGAACTTCACAAACACATGGAAATTGAATAACACCCTGCTGAACAACCATTGGGTCACAGAGGAAATTAAAGAAGAAATGAGGCAGTTTCTACAATTAAATGATAGTGCAAACACAACTTACAGAAATCTATGGGACACAATGAAAGCAGTTCTGCAAGGGAAAGTGATAGCACTAAATGTCCATACTAGGGAAACAGAGTGAGCTCAAATAAACAACCTAATGTTTAGCCTTAAGATTCTAGGAAAAGAAGAGCAAGACAAACCAAAAGCTCATACAAGGGGGAAATTATAAAGATCAAAGCAGAAATTAATGAAATGGAGACTAAAAGAACTATACCAAAAATCAATAAATTGAAGAGTTGGTTTTTCAAAAGAATAAGTAAAAATCAATAAACCCTTAGTCAACCTCATCAAAAAAGGAAAGAAAAGGCTCAAATTCATGCAATTAGAAATGAAAAAGATGAAGTCACAACAGGTCCAGCAGAAATCCAGAGGATCATCTATACCTACTTCGAAAAGCTGTACTCTAATAAAATGGAAAATATAACAGAAATGGACAGATTCCTAGATACATATGAACTTCCAAAGTTGAATCAACAAGAGAGAAAAACTCTAAACACCCCAATTACATTCAGTGATATATTCAAAATATAATTAAAATATTACCAACAAAGAAAAGCCAAGGACCTCACGGCTTCACTGCTCAATTCTACAAGACATTTAGAAAAGAATTATTGCCACTACTCTTTAAACTTTTCAATGAAATTGAAAGGGAAGCAATACTTCCAAATTCATTGCTGGAAGCAAGTGTTACTTTGATTCCAAAAGCAGGGAAAGACCCAGTCAAAAAAGAGAACTGCAGTCTAGTCTCCCTAATGAACATGGATACAAAAATCCACAATAAGATAATGGCAGACAGAATACAGAAGATCATCAAGATCATACACCCTGACCAAGTCGGATTTATCCCACGGATGCAAGGATGGTTCAACATATGTAAATCAATATGTAATACACTATATTAACAGAGTCAAGGACAAAAACCATATGATCATCTCAATAGATGCAGAAAAAGTATTTGACAAAATTTGACACCCATTCATGTTAAAAACCCTACAGAAAATTGGAATAGATGGTCTTTATCTCAACCTGATAAAGGCTATCTATGAAAAACCAATAGCCAATATCATTCAAAATGGTCAGAAACTGAAAACCTTCAGGCTAAAATCAGGAACAGGACAAGGATGTCCACTATCACTACTCCTGTTGAACACAGTTCTAGAAACATTAGCCACAGCAATTGACAAGAGAAAAAAATAAAAGGAATAAAGATAGGAAAGGGGAAAAGTTAAACTATCACTATTTTCTGATGATATGATACTCTACATAAAAGACCCAAAAACTCTGCCATAAGACTTCTAGACTTAATTGAAAGATTTAGTAGAGTAGCTGGATATAAAGTCAACACTCAAAAATCAAAAACCTACTTGTACACAAATAACAGACTCGTTGAGAGAGAAATCAGAGAAACAATTCCATTCACAATAACATCCAAAAAGATGTAATATCTAGGAATCAATCTAACAAAGGAGATGAAAGAACTCTACAGTGAAAATTACAACACTCTGAAAAAAGAGACAGAAGAGGATATAAAAAGATGGAAAGATATCCCTTGTTCCTGGGTAGGAAGAATCAACATAGTGAAAATGGCCATACTTCCAAAACTGCTATACAGTTTCATTGCAATCCCAATTGAAATCCCACAGTATATTTCACAGAACTTGAGAAAACAATCCAAAACTTCATTTGGAACCAGAAAAGACCTAGAATAGCAAAAACCATTCTAGACAACACAGATATGGCAGGGGGTATCACAATCCCCAACTTGAAGCTACACTACAAAGCCTCTGTGGGGCTGGGGATTTAGCTCAGTGGCTCCACTGCCTGCCTCACAAGTGCAAGGATGCAAGTTCAAACGCTGGTAACCAAAAAGAAAAAAAAGGCACTGTGATAAAAGCAGCGTGGTACTGACAAAGAAACAGACCTGAGGATCAATGGACTAGACTAGAAGATGCAGAAACAGCAGCAGACATACTCAGCTACCCCATCCTTGACAAAGGAGCCAACCATCCTCATTTGAGGAAAGACTGCCTCTTTAATAAATGGTGTTGGAAAAACTGGCTTTCAACTTGTCAACGATTAAAACTAGAACCTTATCTTTCACCATGCATTAAACTAATATCCAAGTGTATTAAAGATCTAAATATCAAAACAGAAACACTAAATTTACTAGAAAGTAAATTAGGTAGAACTCTCAAAGACATTGGCATAGGAGAAGACTTTATGAACAAATCCTCAGCAGCATGGAAACTAGAACAAAGAATTAACAACTGGGTTCTCATTGTATTGAAAAGTTTTTGCGATGCAAGAGAAATCACCAAGAGATGTAAGAGACAACCTACAATGTGGGGAAAATAATTTTTTACCAGATACTCATCAAAGAACTATTATCTAGAATATGTAAAGAATTCAAAAAAAATCAGACACCCCACATACAAAGAGCTGATTCAAAAATGGGCATCTGAAATGAACAGACATTTCTCAGACAAAGAAGTAAAAGCAGCTAATAAATATATGAAAAAATGTTCAACATCACCAGTCATGTGAGAGATGCAGATGAAAACAACACTGAGATTCTACCTTACCCTAGAAAGAATGGCTGCTATCAAGAAATCAACCAATATGGCTGGGGATTTAGCTCAGTGGTTCTATCACCTGCCTTACAAGCACAAGGACCCAAGTTCAATCCTCGGTACCCCCCCCCACAAAAAAAATCAACCAATAACAAATGCTGGCAGGGCTATGGGGAGAAAGGAACCCTTCTCCATTGTTGGTGGGAGTGCAGACTGGTGCAACCTCTGTGGAAATCAATATGGAGATACCTCAAAGAACTAGCTAGGATTAGAGGTTCCACTTGACCCAGCCATCCCTCTGCTCGGTATTTTCCCCCAAAGAATTAAAAGAATCATATCATAGTGATATATGTGCACCCATGCTTATAGTGGCACAGTTTGTAGTAGCTGAAACTTGGAAACAACCCAAGCCCATCAACTGGAGAATGGATAAAGATGATGTGGTTTTCCCTAAAATGGAGTACTATTCAGCCATAAAGAATTAGAAACTAGAGTCGTTTTTAGCTAAATGGATGCACATTGAGGCTAGACTCAAGTGCAATAAATAGGACACAGCTGAGTAAATACCGAATAGTTTCTCTTGTGTGAAAAATTAAAAGTGTAAATAAGGTTCAAATGGTATAATGGAGAGTGTAAAATAGGAAGAAAATGGCTAAAGGGGAAGTGGGAAAGAGGGGGAAGGAAATAAGGGAAAAGAAAAATTATGAAAAAATGGAAACAAAGTCTTTGTAACTAGGGAAGGGTGAAGGGGTGAAGGAAGAGCAGGGGTATGTGGAAAAAACAAGAACCAAGACATACCATGCAAAGGTACAAGATCCCAATGATAAATGTAACTGTATTGTTTGCTTTAAATGTACCAGTAAACTTAATGGAAAAGAATAAAAACAATTCCTGGGAGAATAGCAACAAGTTCTCTGTCCCTATAACAAGTATGTAATTCAGCACAGCTATGATTCCCCAGAGAAAAGTCACAGTGAAGAGGAGGGGCTGGGACAGAAAAGCTGTTCAATGACTCTGTCTCTCCTCCTCTTTTTCCTCACTGAATAAGCCAAAGCACTGCTTTTCAAAGATGAAAGCTAAAGTTAAAAGAATGGCATTTCCCTAAATTCCCAAACATTCTGTTTTAAAGGGCTTCTATAAAGGTTCATTAATTCATAGATACTTAGTGATGCTAAATATTCAAATTTTTTGTTATTATTTCTAGGTGTCTGTTAAAAGTGTTTTACCTTGGAGACTTCATAAAATTTGGTTCCAGCCAAATACAATTATCCCCAGATGTATTTCAGAGTGACATTAAATTCCCATTTGCAGCTCGGACCAACCATTTCTGTAGCTCCAAAGTTTCTTAATTTGTAAGACCTATTAAAAAAAACAGAAATCAATCAGCATTTTAATGTTGAAATGAAAAAGAATTTCAGTGGCAAAATAACAGTATTTACCGTAATGCCTTCACTTTCAGGAGAGTAATAACCAAACATTTCCAGACATTATGGAAAATAGTATGGAGGTTCCTAAACAAACTAAAAGTAGATCTATAATCCAGCAATCACACTTTTAGGTATATACCGAGAGTCACTATCCATCAAATAGTGAATAACAATAACAACAACAACAAGAGAGGTATGGTCTAGACACATGATGAAATATTATTTAGCCACAAAAATGGAAATCTTTTTACTTGGTCAGCATGAATGGAAATGGAGATCAATATATTCAGTGAAATATGACAGGCACAGAAAGACAAGTAACATATGTTCTCTTTCACACATGGAATCTATAAAATTAGATCTCATATGTGACATGATCAACAGCTGAAAGTTTAACTTTCTGGAAACAGTGAAAGATACACTGCCGTTAACTCCCCCTCAAAATCTTCTCCTCACTTCCAAAACACATATCCCATGGTTCTTTCCCACTCTGGGAAGAAGTTCTGGAAGTTTTTTTCGAGTCCAGTTGCATTGACTTGATATCCTGAATAGATTCAAAACATCTTTATTTTTTGTGGTTATTTTGACCGTGAAAAAGAGCAGAGGCTGCATGTTCTGTTACCGCTGTGGGCTGTGCGCGAAGGACACCCCACACTGCGCAGTCGGCAGGGAGCATAGCCGGAGCCTGCGGACACTTCTCCGTGGTCACAGTGAGTTTTACAGGTCGCACCCATGGAAGAGGAGGCTGAGAACACAGAAAGCTTCTCAGCAGTCCAGTCCAGTCCCAACACAATGGACTGCCAGGGCCAAAAGGAAATATTCAGAGGTTGACCTCCTGCCTTCACCAGGAGAAAAACCACCGAAGAATGGGACTGGCTTATTGTCTTCAACTAAAAACTTCATTAAAGGAAGCACACCCAAAAGAGAAAACCCTTTGAAACGAAGTAGAATTGAACGTGAAATAGATTCTAATTTGATCACATCAACACCAAGAGCAGGAGGAGCAAAGACTAACAAACAGGCATCTAGAGTAAGACAGAAAAGTCAAGTAAATGGAGAAGCTGGTAGTTATGAAATGACCAATCAACGTGTAAAACAAAACAAGAAATGAGATCATCCTTCCTCTGGCAGCCCTCCAAGGACAACACTGTCGGGGACCATATTTTCTCCTGTCCAACTTTTTTTCACCAGCAAATAAAAATGGAACATCAGGATCAGATTCCCCAGGACAAGCGGTGGAAGCTGAAGAGATGTAAAACAACTCCATATGGAACAAGTGGACAACATCACTACCGGTAGTACTAAATCAACCAACGGAGCAGCTCACTCAGCTCAAGCAGCTCAAGGGAGGCCACGATAAACAATGAGAAGCAGAGCAAACAGTTAATCATGATATCCCACACCTTACAGCACCAGTAACTCCAGAGAGTGGCTAAACCCATGCAGAAGCACCTATGAGGAAGACTGGGGAGTATTTGCTCCCTGTTATTTCTGTTTTTCTGGTTTCCTGGAACTCACTATGTAGCCCGGGCTGGTCTCAAACTCACAGTGATCCTCCTGCCTCAGCCTCCCTAGTGCTGGGATTACAGGCATGCGCCACCACACCCGGCGTTGCCCCCTATTATTTCATCAAACATGTTCCACCACTGACACAAGGACAACCCAACAGGAAACCTGCTCTTGCACTGAAAACAAGCAGCACACCAGAATTCTCCCTCCTTTCCGATCTGGATGAAACACTAGTGCGCTGTAGTCTAAATGAGCTCAAAGGTGCAGCACTGATTTTTCCAGTCCTTTTCCAAGATGTCATATATCAGGTCTACATGAGATTAAGACCATTCTTCAGGGAACTCCTGGAACATATGTCTCAGATGTATGAGATCATTCTTTCTACTGCTTCTAAGAAGGTGTACGCAGACAAGTTACCGCACATACTAGACCCTAAAAAGCAACTGGTCAGAATGAAGACCTCCGACCTCACATCGGAGACAGACTTCGCTTGCCTGATTCGCTGCCCCAGGTTAAAGACTTGTCAAAACACTGAAGGGAGAGAAAATGCAGGACCCTTTTGGACTAAGACAAAAACACTGCCGTTACTGTTGAAATTTTGCATTTTGTACCCTGTCTTATCTTTGCTGCCCAAGAATAATCAAGGGTTACAGAAAGAGACTTCACTTCAGATTGCATACATACAGTAGGTAGGCTAAAACACAACAGTCTTTAGAACAGTGCAACTCCAGTGAAATTTTTTTATGTACAGGACATCTGCAGTTTATAAAGAATTCTGTTTCTGCCACCCTCAGTTTGACCTGTAGTTACACAGGATTTTATGATAATAACAGAGATGAAATGGACTTTCATTTTCTGTTTGGTGCTGTAAGTGGGTTTGTAGCCACTTTTCTGTTACTTTACAATTCTCATTTCAACAGGAATGGCCAGTAAAAGTTGTTTTATTTTACCTGTTAAGGTTTATATACTTCTTACATTTCTGACCTGTATTATATTAGAATTTCATGATGCATTATTTTTAGTTGAGGCGCTTCACGGTTTTCTGGAAATAGTCAATTTTTAGGTTTTTTTTTTTAACTATATGTTTGAATGGCCGTTTTTCTGCTTTGCCTGCAAGCATATTATATACTTGTTTAAAAATAATCTCTTTTAGTCCATCTAAGTTTCATTTAGAAAGATATGCATTTAAATTTTGTTTCTGTAATATTCTCCTGTAGGTTAAATCTTTTCAAAAATCAAGAGACTGGGTAGATAAGAATATATGAACGACTAATATTCAAAAGATTTAAACCACCGTGATGGTGTATATTTCCAAATAGTAGTATCTTGCAATGTCACACCGATTTAATGGATAAAGGCATGCCTCAGACTTCATGCTGCTCACCAGTCTTTGAGGAGAGTGAGTTAGTCACCCTTTGGGCTTGATTTACGCATTGCTGCCTTTGTTTTTCTCCAGGAATGAAGTATTCAGCACAGTGATTCAGTATTTTTAATTGCTCTACATGGGCTGGTAGTACGTACCTCTGTTATGCTCTCAGTTACAATCCATTTAAAACTCTGTGTAACAACTTGGTACCTACCAGTAGTTATGCATAATCCCATAGCACAGTACACTCCCAAGCCACCAATGCAGTTACTAAGCTCTCATAGTGGTTTTCTATGCTATATGAAAATGGTCTTCAAGCCTTGGTTCTCTGATGCAGCTACCACAAGAGCATGATATTTTTATAGTGGCATGTAATCTTTTCAGGAGGCTTTTCACGGAAGGTAGAATTTCTAAAAGTATGCTTCGCTTCTCAACTGCATTAACATGCCACAGGCTCAGACTCTTTTGTGTAAAGGATGTCAAAGAACGGCACTTTTTCTAAACAGAAGTTGATATTTCGTATGCTTGTTAAGAAACTGAAGATGGACAACTGATAATTAAGGAGTATGCCAGTTAATTGCATATGTATATTACCTGTTTACTTGTACAACTTATACAAATTACATTAAGCTTCATTTTCAAATGAATCCTTAAAATAAGGAAATCTTTTTAGGACAACATTTAAGCTTTGCATTTTTTATTTTAAAGGCATGAGTTATGTCAGTTTTCAGTGGGTTAATGAAGATTTCAACTTTTCATCAGGTTGAGTGTTTTCTTACTATATTATTTGTGTGTGTAGTTAGCACATTGTGTCATTGAACTGTTTAAAAATCTAGCATGTAGACCAAACATTTTTTGTGGAAAATCCTTATTCATTAAAAAATAATCATGGCAGATTTTCTGCAAAAAAAAAAAAACAAAAGCATTTGTAATTCAGAAACTGATTTTTCTTTCTAATTTGAAGAAAGGTATTTTTCTTGCAGGAAAAAATACTGCAGATTCATTTCAATGAGAATCTTTGAAATATATTTATCTTTATGGCATCAGGGTATCGTTATGCTGTTTGCCTTATGTCTTTCTTGAAATAAAATGTATATATGTTATATTTAAAAACTAAAACAAAATGCAGCCTATTTTAGAATCCTGTCAAACCGATTACAAACCCCCCACCAAGCACAACTAAGATTTTTCTCTTCTTTAGATAAACCAAAGATAATACCACAAATTGGATTAGAAAACATTTCAGGTGATAAGATTCCAGCCCGCCCCTCTGTCCCTGCAGAGAAGAGAGCTTATGCCTGGATTGATTACTTCAGCAAGAGAGAACAGTCTTTGAATAACTGTATAAATATAAATTGCTAGGGGAAAAAAATGACTTGAGAATGTTCATCTGCCAGATCTTCCAACTTTATTAAAGCATGTTGGTCCTCGTGTCCACCCAAGGGTATGACATGACCTTCTGCTACTGGAAAGAATTACAAACTGTAATTCATCAGAAGCCGTCATAATGAACTCCCCACATATTGGAAACTAAAATGACCTTTCCTAGCTAATATTTGTCTTGTTTTCTTCACACAAAAGGAACCACTGGGTATTCTCTTTCCAATTCATTACAAAACAGATCCAATAGTGAAAAGAAATGCAGTATAATAGTTCGTTATGCCACACAGGAGCCAGGGGTTTCACTGTAGGCAGAGCAGTAACTCATTCAGGGAGACTTTCCACAGGGTCCCTTCCACACCTGCCTAGAAGGATTAACTCTTTCTTGTCACTTCTAACCTTCAGCATGTTCAAGACAACCCATAATTTTGCATGTGACACCCAAAGCATTAACTGACAGTCATTTGATTTCTCCCTCCCTCACTCTCTCTCCCGCTCTCTCTCTCCTTTTCCCAACTGTAACAGGGTCTTTTCTGTCTATCTGCTTTAAAATTCATTTATGTTTAAAAAGTTTACAGAATTCTCAATGATGAAAGACGCTGTCTGCATCTAGGCTTACAAAAAATGCTTTTTGAAAATGTGTCTGATCATTCTGAGAATGAACTAAAAAGACACAG